TGTGTAATGTTAATTTAATCTTTTTAAAAGGATGTAACCTCTTTTAATACTGTTGAAATAAGCCTGAAAGACAAATTCAGAAGTGTAAGAGAGACCGTCCCACAAGTAAATTCAAATACAGTATAAGCGCATCATAGGGTTTCATAAGAGTGAATGAAAATAAATAAAATAAAAGACATAAAACTAAATATTTAGATGTCACGTATTATAAATAATATATTAATTGCTATTCTGAGTCATGAATATTGCAGGTAGAATCAATATAGTGCTCCATATTTATGTCTTCCCAAAAGAGTATTTAGTTAACACTAAAAGCATGGAAATGACTGCACAAAAGCAGCTAAGATAAGCTTCTTTACTGACATACAACTGATGATGATTTGCTTAGTTATATGTACTATACTGTATATGGTGGTTATGTTTACTTGCCAAGCACAGATAAAAAGCTGTTTTGTTCCATTAATAATGTCATTTGGAACTAAATCCATAATCCATAAATTATATGTTGTAATACATACAGTACTGTATAATACATGAACCCAGTTTTTTGCAGGTCTGAATGTTGTATCATTTTACAGTAATGTGAAAAAATCACATGCACAGAATAGAATTTACTTCTTTGTCATGAGGAAAATGTTAACCAAAACCAATGGCTTCTGAAAAGATGAGTGCATAAAGGAAGTTACTGTTGCATGCATTTCTGATTCCCACTGGTGAAGCATCTATAATTATCTCTTTGCAGATTTTATATGTTGCCCCATGACATTTACTTGCATTTTCTGTTCAGAGAATGGTTTTTAAAAGCTGTTCTACTGGAATAGTGAAATATCATGGAAAGTATAAGGACAGAAGAATAGGAAACACGGTACATTACTCAATAAACAGAAAACAATTAGAAACAAATGAGAGAATACTTGGTATTCGGACTGTGCATGGTAAAGCAATCTTGCAACACCTAACATGCAGTGTGAATACAGATAATATTTTTGAGAGAGCTCCTGCTCTGCTTCTCTGCAAATTTTAACAAGCTTTTGCTTCATGGCTAGGAGATGGAAACTTATCTACAGTATATGCTCAGAATATCATCCCCCATACTGGAGATTCACATTTCTGTGCTAATAAGAAACTTGAAGTAGTAAGTACATTTAGATAAAGATTATTACCAGAGCAGGTTTTGTGTTGTGTGACCATGGGGGATGTTTTAATGCTGTATTAACAGCCTGGTTGATATTATTAATAGATCTATTAAAATTGGATAGCTTAATTGCTATGGTTGGTAACAGGAACGTATGCAATTGCTTTTAGTATTTTTATACATCATTTAAATTGGCCATTGGTAAGGTTCAATAAAGCACTGAGTCTGTATATATTTAAATCTGAAGTATTGATTAATCTAGTTGCCTTGAATTCTGGCACCGTCCGGTGTTTCAGTGCTCTCTAGCATAAATGAAACTCGGTGCTATATCCCCTCTGGCAGGGCCAGCATATTAACATTGCAATGCAAATTAGTCATGATAAACTTGAATACCAGCATTGAAAGAAAATATTTAAAAATGTACTGGATTCCTTGTATCACTTGTAACTGTTATTGGCTTTGTAGTACTGCATGTACATGTACAGTACAAGGAACAATAATAAAAAAAGTTCATCAGCAGAATATGAGCTGAGCTAAAAATTAGAAGTTATTTTGTTGCATAACACAGCCTGTTTATTGCTCTGAAATATATCCATAAAGTACTGAAGCAAAAATATTTTCTAAACTCTTTCATAGTCCTTTCTTTCCGGTAGGCAACTGTGTCTCAACTGTGTCTGCTGTTTGCATCCTCAATAAACAGCATTTATTGTATGGATATAGCCAGGGGAATCCATCTTATTGCATAATTAAATAGCCTAATCAAGCTATGACGCCATTTAAAAGTGGATACCAACAAGGAGGTACATAACTTTATTAAATCAGGTAATTAATCTGTTGAGATTAATTACACTGTAGAAAGTTACAAAGCAGATCTTTTAGCTTCAGCCATGCATGGAAACAGCTTGATTTATTAAGATGATTGGGACATATTGAGCTATTTGTTATTCATTATTCATTGTTGCATACTTTTTTTGTGCATATACAGTACCAAGTCCAGTATAACCATACTGAAATGAGAAAAAATAGAACAATTAATATAAATCAGGGTATATTTTCTGGGTCTAATCAGTGGGGATATACAATATATACTGTAGAACCATAACTGAATTGCATTTTCCTTCCCCCGTTTTTGTTGATGTGAGCGATTAATAGTGTTTCCCTTGTAACTACTGTACTACTGTAAATACAATAAAGCAATGTGAAATGTATAGGCAGTTTATATCAGTTTCTGCAAAGTTAAGGGTGATATTATTATCACAATCTGCTGTATATCAGAATTGTCTACATTTAGGTACAGTATGCAGTGTATTGTTTATTATTTTCATTTTTTTTTAACTTTGTACTTACTATATGCTGGCAGAATGACCAGAGTATTTCCTGGACTGAAAACTACATCATATACAGAATGTTAAAAGGGATCTGGTTTATCCTGGGAAAGAAAGAGGGTCAACGAGATTTTCTTACACTCGAAATGCCTAAAGAGACTGAAACGTCGAGTCAAACCAGTCCTTCAAACTCCAAAATACAAATGTAAATTAGGATTAAAAGGATTATGGACAGAGAAAGGGGACACTTCTTTCCAACAAGGGCCATTAAGTGTGTGGAACATACAACCAACTTACAGTCACGACACTTACATGCAGGGTATAATGAATAATGGTGTATTTGGAATTTTCAAGTTTGAAATGAGAATGCTGAATACCTGAGTGTGGGAACATTTATTCCTAATGCATCTATCTTTCTGTTTCATCTAAAGCAAAAATGTGCAAAACAGAATATTCCCTCTGACAACATACAGTAACTGCATGCTGTCATAACATAACATGTCATAACATGTCTCCTCCTTGGTCAGTTTGTTTTGCTAGTAACCTTCAGTGATCAACTTGATTAAGTTGCTTGAATCACCAAGATTCCAGCAACCAAAAGGCCTCTTTGTAACGAACAGTTTTCCGGACCCTATGCGGACGACACAGTCTGACGGAGTGGGGAAACACTAGGGAAACGTCATGCAGGAAAACGGGGCTGAAGACAAGGGGGCGTGTCCAAGGTGCGCTGGTGCACGGGGGAGGTGTGGCCGAGGCGAACAATCCTAGAGAGTAGTCCTTAGGGAAAATCCAAAACGCAAGGGTAAGTCCAAAACCAGAAGATCCATCAGAACTCGGAATTTAAACCACGAAGGCCGGGTCGGAACCGGCGGACGGGGAACGGGAACGGGAACGGAGGTTAAAACCTTAACGGGACCAGGCGCTTCCAGGTCCCGGACTCGCATGATATGGAAATCAGGTGCAGAGCCGGGATGAGCATCAGCGCCTGGCTTTTAAGGTGGGCTGGGAAAAGGGAACAGGTGCAGAGAATAAAGTCTTAGTGAAAGGGCTGGAGCACCCTTAAGGAGGGGGAACTAATATCGTGACACTCTTTTATTAGATTCCTGAAAACATAGAAGAAAGCCCACTCTTTTGTCATATGAAGGTCTCCAGAATTTCAGGATCGGTTTCATCCTTGAATCATGACTCAGGACTACATGAAAGCTCTCATTTACTTTGCAGGGTTTTAAAAGGTGATTTTGAATTCAAAAAGGTCACTGTAAGACCACCAGTTTAATTTTCTAAGTGATCAAAAGCGAAATTCTCATCATATTTCTTCTAAGCCTGCAGAACTGATGTTTTAAAAAATATATTCGGAATTTTGATATGAACTGTAGTTTGGAAGGTTTGGGTGGAAGGTACAGCATCCAGTGAGAGTTCATGAATCAAGTGATTGCATTTGTCTTAGATGTAAAGAGGCCATGGCAATCTGTGGACCTAACAACAATGACTTCTCAGTCATTGCCTTTTCTTTTGATTAATGCTCTTATTATTGCTTTTATTAATGGATGCGATTCATGGGTGCCTGGTTTTCTGATGTTTTCTCCTTATGCCATTTACTGAATTTGCAAACAGCTTAATCTTGTGCGTGTCTGTTTTTCATTCGTGCTTCATGCCAAATGTATTTGTATTCATTTGTAGAAATCCTATTTTTAATAAGATCCAAAGGAGGCCTAGAGGTGGAATCTTTAGTATTAAAAATACTGAAACTCATATCCTTGGGTTTTTTTTGTTGTTGCATTTTTAAATCTGTGGTCTGATTGTAAGAAAAAATGCAAGTCCTGATATCAATGTAATTTAATAAGGATCTTGTCATTTCAAATCAGACAAAAGCAGGTGGCTCTTACCAACTGTCACTCTTGATTTGCAGATGAATCCTCTGGGGCATGTAAGAACCACAGTGCACTGCATCCCTTAAGTACAATACTTATTTTTGTAGTTGTATCTTTAAATTTCTTAGCATGCTTTTAGATATACTGAAACTGATTTTCAGGAACGAACTTGGTTTTACACTGCTATATTTTCTACTACACAGTAAGTCCAAAAATATTCCACAATATTTCAGTTCAGTTCATATTCCTCCATATTAAATAATCGCATTAGCTTTGATGAATATTTGATCATTTTTATTCCTATATTCAAATTCTTCTGTTACCATAAAACATTTGAAGAGCAGCAGCAATATTAAAAATGTCATTGACAGTTTAAGGGTTTAGTAAAATGAATGAGTCAACGACTCCTACTGTACATTGCATCTTTCTACTGAATTCTGTGGTTGAGAGCTATACTTCTTTAAATAATTGATGCCGGTGTCCGTTCTAATTAAACTTGTATTTTCACTCAAGAGCTCCTTGTAAATTAAGCACTTTCACGGTAAACATTCTAGACCTGTATCTACCTGTGCGAACACTATGTTTTGTGCCACACCCCCTTCTCAGCAGTTGCATATGGTATGTTCCAGTGATGCTGGTGTAGACACTATGAGAGCCTGTGTCCGCAACAGAAGAAGCTGGTAAGAATTGCAATTGCTTTAGAGCTCCCAGGAAGAAGCGAAATTACTTGAATGCATAGTCCATCACTTCTTTCACGAAGTACACTCACTGCTTTGCATCACCAAACTGACATCTAAAGAAACAAGCTTGACAGCATAAACTGACTCGCGTCTCAATATTTTTTCAAGGATAAATGAAGATACAGCATAGAGGGATTTAAATGTATTTTTTAATTCAGTCATGCTGTGAAGAAATGGAATGGAACTAACCTTTTGTTATGGCAACACTTCGCAAAGGTAATGCTACTGTAGCTGTTTCAAAGCCATATGCTGATGGTGGTAGCGTACAATTCAGGATGTCCGTCTGTGGGTATTCGTGCGCTGCAGATTCCCTCAGCAGCTTATCATCCGCTGGTCCGTTTTCATAAACACTGCAATATTACTGATACACATTTTATGCTGTAGGGTTTTGTAATCGTTATAAAATCAACAGGAAAATGCTTCTAATGATTCGAAAAGCGTGTATTCCATGACGAGGGCAGTGCTACTGTTCATGAAAAACAGTTTCAGTTTTCTATGGTGCCTGGTGTGTTTGTAATGTCAGATGGGAATGCGGTTCATCAGTTTATTTTAAATGTTGCCGTTACGTTTTCTCGTCTGCTAATTTGATTTTTTAAATAAAAAGTTAATAATTTCGTCGCCACCAGCATTAAAAGGCAGATGTGTTGGAAACAAATTGGCTGGTGTGACACGGTAAGCATACCTTTACAAATCGATCAACAGCTTAAAATGGGGTTATGTGCCATTAGAAGTCACAAAAACTTTACATTTTTGTTTATAATGTATTGTGTTGCATCTTCACAAAACGTTACTGACATCTATGTTTTGAAAGTAAATTCACGAATATTGTGCACTTGATTAAAGCTTAGGGGAAAATATACATGCGGCACTGAGTTAAAATTCAGAGCTTTAATAGTAGAAAATGTTTTATTTACCCGCGTTTCCTGACATCAGGCTTTCATTCTTAAGTTAGCGGTATGATTTGTCGCAGATTGCATTCGCCAGTATCTTACAAGCCGCAAGAGGGAAGTGGATTGCTCCAGCTTCAGTAGCAACCAGGACTACTCAATCACGCGTGTGTAAGCGAAAAAGCATTGTCACTTTTCAGAAACCTAAATAATGTTGCGCCACTGATTCCTGGAGCAAGTCACACCTTTGGCTTCAGTAAACAAAGTCACTGCACCCCATTCGAAATGTAGCCAGGTTTTGTGCTTTCGAGCCTTTGTTTCAGTATCTCATTGGGAAGTGACACCGTAGCGAGTTGCAATTTGCCAAATTGACAAATTTACAATATACTCTTAGATAATAATTCCAAAAACATCCACCGCTACTTAATTCCACCTAAACATTATTTATTTGTTGACCCGTCTGGTCTCAATGTAATGCATCGTTAGTAAGAATGCAAAAAAAAAAAGTGCAAGAAGCAAAACATAATGAAATATAATTGTGATATGTAACTACAGTTCATATAAAAGTAGTAGTTGCTAGTGTCGACTGCCAAATAATTCCTTTAATTTTGATCATTTAAAATATAAATTTGCTGAATAGTGACTAACATTACAAAGCAGTTTAGCGTAAGAAGACAAGACAAACTTACAAATCGGCAAGAATTGTGTTTTTACTTTAAAGCTGTAGATGTGAAAAGTTCAAAAACCATGGAGTATAAATACAGTTTAAATTTTGTTTACTATAGTACTGAGCTTCTTCCCTGCTTACAACAAAACCAGAGCTTTCTTAACTATGAAGAATGCCACGTTTTTGTTAGAGACCGCCGCAGGTGTTCATACCTCACAAATTTCAATGGGGTAGATTTTAAAAATCGATTTTTATGGTTGAGCTGGTTTTATTTTTAATTGCTGTTTATTTAAATTTTATTGCAACTAACTCGTTTTTTTACTGTCCAGTTTTTAAAGAAAGAACAAAGAGAAATGAGAAGATAAGGCGTTTTATAATTAATCTTTCTTCTCTTGGGAACACTATAACCTAGAGTAGGCTGTTTGTAGGAAATAAAAACACGGCCGGATAGCCTTGCCAAACATAGCTAATAATATCCCTCTCAAGGCAAGTGAATGTGAATGCAAATTTGAATCCCAGTGGGCACAATCCAGTTTACATGCAGAGAAGTGCCAGAGGTCTTCATTTAAGTCCCAGTTGCAAAAATATTTCGCATTTTATGATACAATATACAATGTGAAACACTTTTACTAGATTCCTCAAATATCTTTATATATCCTATAATATATTCTGTATAAAAAGAAAATATGTACAGTATGTAAAATATCATTAAAGCCTGTGTACAAATTAAGAGACAAAAATCTTATTTTGTAAAATTTACATCAGATTAAGAACTCATTTATAGAGAAATCTCATAAAAAATATACATATGTGTTAATGTCTACCAATTATGCTGTCTTGTATAATAACATGGGAAACCCAATAGTTATAATTCAAGATTCTGACTCCAAGCTATTTTTTTTAATCTTCTGGTAAGGTGGTTTTACTTTGTGGATGAAATACAAGAATTAGAAGATGCCAGTTTAATGCAGTGCTTATTATGCTGCTTGTATTTTGTTTTACCTTGATCAAGTTTGCTTCCTTCCATTTCATGTAGAGTTAGTGTGGGAAAAAATTAAATTAAATGCTTTGCCATTTTAGTGTCTAATCAAAGCAAGATTAAAAATGTCGTGTTGCAAAGTTATTTGTACAATTATTTTAAAATGTAAATTGACTGAAGAATTTCAATAAATTTACTTAACGTGTCTTGAAACATGACAGGTACGTAGTGAGCCATGTTTATTTCAGCCTTAATAATCAGAATTCAATACCCGCTAATTACCGACTTATCCACTGCTTTTGTGAACTGTTTTTGCTTCTACTTTGCTATAAGTAAATATGATTACAGTGGTGTTAGCAGTAGTCATTTGGGATCTCACTTCTATAAGATTAAAGTTGTTTGTATTTGCTCATAATTGCACTAACTCCTTCAGCATTCGTGGGGAAAATTCCAAATACAATTTGTTATGTAATTCTAACACTTTATTGCCAAGTAGAATAATTGAATATTCTCTGACATTTCTGAAGTTATTCTGTCTCCCTTAATTTTAAAGATGCATGTTGTTAAACACAAAAGTTGTAAAATGTAGTTTGTTTTCTTTCTCTTTAACTGAGATGTGTTTTATGCCACTTGTTTGATGAAGAATTTTATTCCCCCTGTTCTTGGTGTTTTGCTGTGGGTGAGGGAATGTGATGAATCCCATCACTTTGTAGCTGCCTCAACATAAAATGGTTGTTAAGTACTGTACAGTACATATACTGTAAATGATTGTATAAGGGTCTTTCCTTGGGAATTTTTCTCGTTTTCTGCATCCTGAAGCCAGGGGGAGCTCACAGCTCATTGGTGAAGTTTCTGGTCATTTTAAAGATACTTATAATCTCTTATTTCTACAATTAAACTGGACATCGAGTTATGCCCAGTTTTTGTTGATTCCATCTGAGTCAATGGAACTTCCTTCAGGGCATTGTTAACAGTGCACTCTAATTAGCACACTGTGAAAATAGTGTCTGTCAGATTTTGATTCAAACGCTTTTGAAAAACATCTATTTAGATTGTCCAGAAAAGTGTCTTTGTGTGGGCTCTTGTCTTGTCCTTTTCTGTTGCCTTGGGAGTCCAAAAGGGCTGCTTTAGTGGCCATTAAAAGAGTGCTTATGGCTTCATGACACAGAAAATGGATGCCCAGCTAGCATGGAAATTGTAAATTGTTGTGTTTGAGTGTCAGTGATGATAAGTGAACCCAAAGAAGGGGAAACCATTCAGCACGCTTCAGTACACTGTCAGCGAGCAGACAATCTGCTATGTAAAGAAGATGTGGAATTTTATAAATGAGTTTTAGTTGGTGCAGTGAAATGCAGTCCTTAGATGAGATGTGTTGGTTTGGTAAGGGGATCAGATGAGTTCTTCATCTCACATGCCTCATGATACTCTTTAGGTACTGCTGGTTTTCAATACCAGTGCTAATAAGAAAAAGCCTTGATGGAATCACATGCTACATGAGCCTCATCTTGCATGAACAGTATTAATAGGTATATTATTTTAAAAAAACAAGATAAAAGATAAATGCTTTAAATCGCAGTCCATCTGTTGTCTAACAGCTCCATCTAAGCCTATCTCTGCATTTTGTTTTAATAAATGTTTCACTAATGTGACTTTAATCATATAGTGTGAATTGCATGTACTGTAGTGTATGGTAAACCTGAACAAATGCTGAATGTACTGTGAACGTGCGTAGAAATGTTTTAATGCGGGTTAAAAATGTAAAATCAATGGTAGTGTATGGAGATTTTTCATGTGACAGGATTTTTTTTTACTTCTGCCTGGTAGAAATTCAAAATAGAGTGAAGGATTCATAATTTGCCTTTTAATCTAGAATATAGGAATAAGCATCATGCTGATGATGATATAGGATGGATGAATTGCAGTGGAATTTTTTTTAAATGGCAGATACATAAATACAGGGATTTGAATGGTAAAAACTAGCTGTACTCTGGCATTTAAACTGATTAAATTGATTCTGTGCTTAATTTTATCTGGTTCTTGGTTTTGTAAATTTAATTTTCTTGTACTGCTTACATTGTAACATGATAATTGGTTTTATCCTTAGCCTGAAGACTTTCTTTGTAGATCAATCATTATTTTTAACAATATAAGTTACAAGTGAAGGGGTACAATTCAGCTCATCTAGGTCGTATGGTTGCTAGTAGCTAAGAAACCGCCTGTTTTTCTTCTACTTTCAAGAAGTTGGCTAAGATCCTCAAAATGATATCTTAGTTTTGTTAATTTTACACACATATATTGTCTCTTATTTTACTATTATTTTACTACAGGTGAAACATCTGTTACTTCCAAATGTTCTCATGCACAATGTAGTTTAATTGTAGTATAAATTAAAGTATTTGGCTCCACATAATTGTTCCCCTGCAATTACAAGGTCATTCCTCAGTGAAGTTACAATCCATGCACAATAGATGCAATTAGATAATTGTTTCTACTTTTTAGTTATTGTACCAAATAATTTTTAGTAGAATTATCTTCACATTTAGGAGTGGAATAGGGTTGAAGGAAGGGTATGAATACCAGTACATCCCACATAATAAAAAAAAAAAAATACTTTACCTAACTTTAACTTTTCAAAGATCATTTCAATACCACATACAGTACAGTAGTGGAAAAGCCCCTATCT